TAAAGAGAACTTCCAAGATAGACCAACTGTTAGGTTTATTAATCCTGCTAAAAATAGATTGGAAGAATTTCAAAATCTATTTTATCCAACATTAATTTCAAGCTGAAAAAGAAATTATTTTTGAACCAATGGCAAAACACTCAAAATGTTATCCATCGATTATTGAAAACCTACTAAAAAATGCAATAACTTTTACAGAGCATCATCTAACAATAAATAGTGAACAAAAGAGTTTTATACACTATGCAAGAAAATCATTATTATTTAGCAGTGGAATTGCTTGGATTAAGAAAATGTGAGGAGTATTCGATGTCATTATGAGTGCTTTTGATAGCGTGGAGATTTGCAAATTAGTTGAGATTTTTATTTTACATCGAATCTCGCAGTTTTATGATAATGTGATTTCGGTATATATCGAGATGATGAATAAGCTATGTTTAGAAACATGGTAATGAAATGGAGAGGATAAAGAAACAATTTGTACAAATTTTTAAAAATAAAAATTTTCCAATTTCTATTAAATGTAATTTGAAAATAGTTAACTCATTTAATGCTAAACCGTAATGATGGTTCTTTTCAGCCATACCGTAAACCAGATAATATACTAAATTATATATATATTAGTTCTAATTATCCAACGAGTGTAATAAAAAGTATTCCTAAGACTGTTGAATTAAGATTATCAGCTGCATTGTCAAGTGAATCGATTTTTATAGGAAGTATACCTTCTTTTCAAGAAGCCTTAATAAAATCAGGGTACAATTGCGAACTTACATACCATCCAAGTATAAAATCAACAAACGACAATCATAAACACAAGATAATTTGGTATAATCCTCCTTTCAGTGCATATGTTGAAATGAATATAGGAAAATATTTTTTGAACCTCATTGACCTTCACTTTCCAGTTAACCACAGACTTCGTAAAATGTTTAATAAAAACACAATCAAAATAAGTTATTCCTGCATGCCAAACATTAAATCCATTATCAACTCTCAAACTAAAAGCGTTTTACATAAGGAGGCAAAAATTAATGAAAAGAAATGCAGCTGCATTGACAAATTTAAATGTCCAATGAACAACCATTGTCTTTCCAACAACATTGTTTATCAGGCCACCATCTATTCAAACAATCCGAAATATAAAGAAAAAATGTATTTTTGACTCACTGAATCATCTTTTAAAGTTCGGTATGCAAACCACTTAAAATCTTTTAATGTGATTAGATATAAGAATGACACAGAGTTATCAAAAGAAGTATGGAAATTAAAAGAACTAATCTTTACACCTTTTGTCAGATGGAAGATTATTAAGCTATGCAAACCATACAACTCAGGATCAAGAGTTTGCAACCTATGTTTAAACAATATATATATATATATATATATATATATATATATATATATATATATATATATATATATATATATATATATATATATATATATATATATATATATATATATATATATATATATATATATATATATATATATATATATTTAAGGGCTCATACAACTACATTTTTTGAAAATGTCTGCAATTACCCCCTAAATGTGTTTTATTAATAAATTAATACATAATATATATATATATATATATATATATATATATATATATATATATATATATATATACAAATAGTATTGCGTACTTTGGTAAGCAATCTGATGTCATACTGAAATAGCCAGCTGCTGGGGGCTTCAGTACATACAACGACTGACAAATAGCCTGACTCGCAGTGGAGTGCTGCTACATATATATATATATATATATATATATATATATATATATATATATATATATATATATTTAAGGGCTCATACCACTACATTTTTTGAAAATGTCTGCTGATGTCTGCTGATACCCCCTAAATGTGTTTTATGTAATAAATTAATACATAATTATATATATATATATATATATATATATATATATATATATATATATATATATATATATATATACACACACACACACAACCCTCAGAATTAGGAGATAGGGTTGTGTATATATATATATATATATATATATATATATATATATATACACAACCCTCAGAATTAAGAGAAAAAAATTCAAATGGTGATATATATATATGGTATCTTAATAATTTCAATAAATTTTGAAAGTTTAAAAGTTTTAAAAATTTTGCAAGGACGAAATAGTACTGCATTTTTGACTTTAATAAATAAAGTTTCTTTCAAATATTTGAAAATAAAGTTTCTTTTAAAATTCAAGTATCTGCCCTATTTTAAGAAATAAGTAATCAAAATTTAATTATTTCTTCCATTTAAAAAGCATTGAAATGCAGAAATTCTGCAATTTTGCAAATTTCGCATTCAAATATGCAAAAAATGCAAATTCTTTTCAAACTAAGTGTAATTTTTTTTTTAATTTATTAATTAGTTAATATTATGCTAATTTTTTTTTGCTGCTATCAAAAAATTGAAAGATATTTTTGCCAATCATTGTACAAAAACATTGTACATTGTTTAGAATTGTACATTGTTCAGAAAGCAATTGTACATTGTTTAGAATTGTACAATTGTACATTGTACAGAAACATTGTACATTGTTCAGAAATTATTGTACATTGATCAGAAAGCAAAAAATTTGCTTGATTAAATTTGGCATATCCACTTATTGTAGATAGTAATGAAATAAATTTTAAATCGTTTCAAAAAAATCATTATAACGCAACTTGAAATTTAATTAACAGATTTGAAAGCAAATATACTGTGCAAATTGAAAAACTTGGAATAAAATGCAAAAAGGTTTGCAGTAGATCATAAATGGAAAGAACTTTTAACTTCTCAAAAAGAAGATAAAATTATATTTAAAACGTGTTTCTGAGAGTAACAACCAACTTAAGTTGGCGGTATTTAAATTCTTGTCTTTATATATCTTTCGGATCAACATATATATATTGTGAGCAGATATTTAGCAACATAGATCTCACTAAAAGTAACTAAATGAATATTAGTCTTATTAATTATATGTTTTTATTTATCGTGGCTTATCACCTAAGAAACTAGTACTTATTACTTTTTCTTTCATCAGTTTTTATTTGTTTTAATTGTTACAGTACACAGAGCGCAAAACTACAAAAAAAAGTTTTAAATTCTGAACCTTATATCAGAGTAAAGTTAAATTAGATTAGACTAAATACAAAAAAATAATGCTTTTTGTTTCATGTCACTCTTGAAGATTAAGCTTTTTTTTAAAAAAAAATTAAATAAAAGTTAGTTTATCATTTCTCACATTAATCTTTTTAAATTTTTTAAATTTAATTGAATTTTTTAAAATTAAAATTGAAGTTTTTAAACGTTTTTATAAAGTTCCAAAAAATACTTTTTAAGCCGTCGAATACCACAGAAATTATATTTAGTTGCGAACACCAGGTTTTTTTAGTCGTTTTGAGAACATTTACGAAACAAAAAATTTTTGTTTTACGGACATACATGGAAACATAAACTTGAATGTTACAAAACATCTTGGTGCGGAGAATAAAAAGAATATTCGCAAACACGAAAAACCCGCCAAATTAACGAACAAACTAATTCTATTTGTTCTAATAAAGTTCTAAAGTATTCTATTGAAATGTTTTAAAATTGTATTTTTCACGATTTGTTACGTTTTGAGATTTCCATCTTTACGTTTTGAGATTTCCATCATCCATCATTTTAAGAATATATTATCAATACTATGGCTCATTCTCGGAGCCACATCTGCAAAGCTGTAAATCTTATAAGCTATTATAAAAATGTTTACAAAAATAAATGTTTTAAATATATATTATTTAAATTGTCAAAATTTTGAAGGTTATTATAAATTATAGATTTTATTAGTATATTCTTATTTTTTATTTAAAAAGTATGTATTTTTTATGTAAATATAATTTTGTGTATCTGTTTTTTATCGCAATGTAATCTTTTAAAGCAATTTTTATGATTTAATTTGTAAACAAAGACTTACAAAAATAATTGCGTTTTCAATAAAATTATTAATAATTATTAAAGTTAATAAAACTAATCATGTAACAAACATATTAGAAGTTACTGGTTACTAAATACAAACAATTCATACAAAGTAACTCGCGGATAAACAAGCACTGCGCCTGAGCTCACGACACAAATATATATATAACAAGTTATTAGATATAAAGAAAAGTTTCTAGATATTGGTTTACTAACTCTAAATATTTTCGCTTTAGTTGCCATTCTTAAAAACTTGTTATACTTTTTTCGTCTTTTAATACTAATTAAAACTAAAAACCCACTCACTAAACATCATTAGCGATATATGAAGCAGTTTCGCTTCCTCGTCATAAAGTATTTTTAACCTTTTTATTTGATTTTTATCTGGTTAATATAATTTCTATAGTAATTCAATGATTTAATTATTTCATTTGTTTATTTTACTAAGAAGAATTGCTTCAAATATGTTAAACTTTTCAAACTACGCGAAACATAAAATAGGTATTGAAAAAATTAACTTTTTTATTTATTACATAATTTAGCTTAAATAGAACTAAAACTTGTTTAAAACCTTTTTAAACAATCGTAAGACGGGTGGACCTGTACACGACGCACCCCAAACTCGGTGAAGTTCGAAACGGTAGCTTTGCCGTTTTATGATTGGCTAATATTAACGAATAAAAATTTAGCATTAAAGTTTTCGATTCGCGCTTCCTTAGCTCTTTCTTTACCACCTTCAAAATAAGTAAGTTGTTCTTCAAAATAAGTAAAATGTACTCAAAACGACTAAAAAGTCTGGCCAGCTTTTCGCAAAATATTATTTCCGTGGTTTTATTTATTATTTATTTTTAACAGCAATCGAGAGCGATCGCTTCCCGACCAAGCCTGTTATCCCTGTAGTGAAATAGCCCCTGTCTCCCTTCGTTTAAATAGATTATTATTTAAAAAATGTATATTTTTTTTAATCTAAATTTTTTTATATGTTTTGCTATAATTTTATTTTTAATATTTATTTACAGGTGTTTTTATATTGCGCAATCTTACCAACTTTTAAAAAAATGGGTAGAGAGTGTATCTTTATATGACCGTGTGATTACGTATGTGAATGAAGCTACATTAAAATTAAAAGCTTGCAATAATCCGTTTCTCAATGTAAGTTCACTATATTTTATTATATTAAAAAAATAATAAATTCCAATGAAAATTTAACAATAGTGTTTTTAATCATTTTTGAAATGCAGGTCCTGGTTACTAAAATAGAAGAACTATCCGAACTTGCGCAAGGTCATAAATATAATGCTCATGCCCTCAGTATATTGGGTAAGAGTTCGTTATTTCACTTTATTATTTTATTTTTAACTGTGATTTTATTCAACATTAAAATCACTCAAAAAAATTTTAATTATACTAACGTTTCCTTAGAATCTAACGAAGTTGCAGCAGATGTAGGAAAGTTGGTTTTATCTGATCAAGTATGTTATTTATAAAAATTGATTAACCTACTTATCAATTGTCAAGTCTAACCTTTTATATCAATTTAAAGTTGACTTTTCAATTAAACTTTTTTATTTTTAGGTGCTGGCGGAACGTTTGGATGTTTATCAAGAGTACCAAAATGCTACAAAGAAAACAAATCTCATTCGTTTCCCACCTGAGCCGCAGCCAACGCCGTGCAAGCCATTGTTTTTCGACCTAGCTTTGAATTATATTGATTTGCCGAATCTTGATCATAGATTAGAGAAGAAACCTGAAGGAGTTTTCAGTGCATTGCGAAGGGGGTTCGGTTTTTGGGGGAGTTAATGAAATAAATATTAGTAAATATAAATTTTTTTTAAACTTAAATATTTATATATCGTTATATCTTACATATACCGTTAAAAAATTTTAAATTTCGGCAAAATCATAACACGCCTGTTTTCGAAATTTTTTTCTTATTTATAAATAGAAAGTCAATTCAAAAATATTAAAAAACATTTGCATGCAGAACTATTGTTTGTATCAGGTTGTAGTTTGCGCCAAGATGGTAAAGGAAATTCTAAATCAAAACTTTTATATTCTTATATACACAAAAGGTTTAACCTTTAGGTTCTTTTTTATTTGGATTTATTATTCTTTTTTAGTTGGTTGCAACTCAAAACTTTATAATATTATAATATTATAAAAATTGCACATGTTTTACATGTTCACAGTAAAACATTCTATATTTACTTACCAGCGTCGTATGCCCGACCGGTGATAATTTAAATATTTCAGAGGGCAATTTGCAAATCATGAAGCATAATATACATATGTTTAGTAAGTAAAGGTAGTATATCCTGTATATAGGGCAGATTAGGGTTATATGAGCACCTTGGTAATATGAGCATACTTGAAGATTTCTTAGATGTGAGCAGTGAAGTTAAAATTGCTTAGTATTTTTTGAATCGACTTTATGTAGTGATAACAGAAATCAGTACAATTAGTGTAAATTTACATGCAGTAGTTAGCGGCTATTACCTAATTAAAATCTGCTAACCTTTTCGCGTTGTTAAAATAATATCAGCAGCATGAATAAATCTGTAGCGCAAAAATATGTAGTGCTAAAATAATGAAAATAAATTTTTTATAAAGAAAAATATGTTAGCAAAAAATCCAATCTATTTTTGTTTAAAAAACAATGCATAGAAACATAGTTTTGACTTAATTCAAAAATGCTAGTTTTGAGTAATATGAGCATGCTTAAATTACCCAGTGTTTTTCATAGAAATTATCTAGTTTAAAGTCCTAAAAAAGCAGTGGTTTTAATTACTTTTTAAATAAAAACAAAACATATTAAATAATTTTAATATTTAATTAATGCTAAGTATTTTTCTGTAATTTAAATTCAAAAAATTTGAATTTTTATAGTTCAAAAGTTTGAGTTTAAAAAATTAAAAAAATAACGAACTAACTTTTAATTTTTTTTGTTGCGGAAAACATAATTGTATTGTTTCAACATAAAAAGGTTTAAAATTTGATTTTTTAATGATAAGTTTTGTTAATAACGATTCATTATATTTCAAAAATTAGTTCTAGTTGTCAGGTTGATATTTTTTTACTTTATTAATGTATTTTTTTTGAGCTATTCAAAAGTGCTCATACTACCAAGTGGTAATATGAGCACTTGTGCTACTTTTTTAAAACCTGTACCCAAATATCTAAGTGGATCATGATATGGGATCCCCAAAAATTGTTTATTCGCAAAAATATTGGATCCAGCATGATTGTATTTTAAAATATTCCAATTTTCGCTTAAGGTGCTCATATTACCCTAATCTACCCTATGCATTTTTATTTAAATCTATTCATTTTTGAATTACTTTTTTTTTAACTTGGTTATAAGCCATAGAAGGCCTGGGTCTGAAATTATCAATTTGAGTGGGAAAAATAAAAAATGGTAGTTTTCTTTAAAAACTTTCACAGTAAATAAAAGCGAGTCTTTTGGCTTTCGCTCATAAAAAGCGTTCAATTAGCATTGTTATTATAAATTTGTAGCTATAGCTATATCCTAATTTTTAAAATGGTAAGATTGATGTATGCTTCTGCTTTGTGTTTTAATAACTACAGTTCTAAAAACGTAAATGGAAACCAATTTGATTTTTTTGACTTCCTTGAGTAGAAGTTATTCAAAATAAGTACAAAAAACATTTTCCAAATCGATAAAATGACTCGTGATAAATATTTGTACAGCTAATTGGAATAATAGAATATAATATATTCTATCAGGATATCAATGTATAATATATTCTATAGGATATCAATGTAGTATATATTTAGACAATGATTAATAAACTGTGTAGTTACTGTTATGTTGTTTGAAAGTGTAACTACTAAATAAGGATTGCAGTTATCCAGTAGGCTATATTGAATTGTGCTTTCATATACTAGCTCTTTATTATATTTACGTTATATTATTACGTAAATATAATAAAGAGCTAGTATATGAAAGCACAATTCAATATAGCCTACTGGATAACTGCAATCCTTATTTAGTAGTTACACTTTCAAACAACATAACAGTAACTACACAGTTTATTAATCATTGTCTAAATATATACTACATTAATATCCTTTAGTGCTTTTACTGAAGCATTTTTTTTGCTCTGAAGCATTCTTGCAGCTTTTTCTTTTTTGCCAAAATTCCCCTGTTTTTATAAGAATAATGTATACAAGGGGTACAAAGTTTCGTCTCAAGACCATTTTGATATTATTGGAGATATATCGAACGGGTTAAGACTGCATTCAAACATATAAATTTATTTTGTCTCATTTGTTCAACTTTTTTCAGATTTAAAAAAAACTCCTGGATTCTTTTTTATGCAACAACGTTATACTTATTATGAAACAGATCTTTCAATGTTCCTTATACTGACTTCTCAGTTTTCTTGAGCCTTAGCTCATGAATCATGATGCTTATGTTTTACCTTAAACATAAAAAAACACATTTAATAAAATAGAATTTACATTTAATATAAACAAAACAATTAACATTTAAAAATAGATTTTTTTAAATCAATATTTTCGGACTTGGTACAACTTTTAACTTAAACCATCACACTATGCGTCGCATATGGAACCACCACACTATGCGTCGCGAAGCGGAAATAAGATTTTACTTACTTTTCTAAAAAAAAATTTCAATTTTAATATTTTAAATATTTTTTAAACAAAACAAGTAAGTATTAATTTATAAAAAAATGTTTGTTACAAATTTTTATAAATTTGCCTTCTTAAGTGCGGGATTTACAGGGGTAAAAAACCCGGCTTTTCACTAAATCTTCAAATTAAAAACAATAACTTCCAAGTTTTCTCAATTTTTTGGCTTTATTAGAGTAACCTGGGGCAAAGCGAGACACTATTAGGGAGAATGTTCATAAATTGAGAAGTATCACGTTTCACAACAAGAATTTATACAGGCTACTAGCACATTGTGTGTTTAATGATCTCTTAAATACTTGTGGTGATAAGTTGTTGTATTGAAACATAATTAAATTCAAAATGGCAACAACTACCCTATCTCACTTTTCCCAAAACCTGGGGCAAAGTGAAACAGATTTCATTCGAAGAAAAAATTAAGTAAAAATATAATTTATAATAAAATTATAGCAGACTGATAAATTCGATCTGATTAAATATAAGAACACAAATAAAAACACAAGATCTCATTTTATAATGTAATTTTTCCTTTTAAATCGAAAAACATGATACAAAAAAATATCAATCAAAAATATAAAATAACAAAAAAAAAATCAAAAATAATATCAATAAAAAAATATATATGCAAAGTTTTATGTTAGTCAATAAATTTGAATAAAATCTATTCACATAAAAAGCAAATATCGTTTCGGTTACCCTATCAAACAAATGATGCATTTTGTAAATTAAAAACCAAGAAAAGAAAAAAAATGTATTATTAAATGATTATTGTTTTTGTGTATCCGTTAGGATTGATTGATTAGACCATGTTACTTCTTGGGATGTACCAAAGCTAAGATTTTGTCGCACTTACATAAAATAAAAATGGTAAAGGTAAAATTTGCTATCTTAATTAATTGCTGAAAAACATTTTTTAACATTTTACTAGGATTATTATATTTACTGCATATTGTAAAATATATGTAGTGCATTTATAAGTATTTTAGCACACAAGGTATTTTTCTATAACAAATCATCAAGATTTTTTTTTAAATTACGCAATGTCATAGGACTTTAGGATGTAGTAATGTCTCGTTTGAACAAATTTAATGTTACATGAAAAAAGATGACTAGCTAACTAGTAATTACTAATTACAAATTAGTAGTTAAATTAGGGTGTGAATTATATAACAAATTTGGCTTTTCTTAATCAAGTCTACACTTTAAAATTATATTATAAACAATGCTTAGTTTACATTAGTTTGTACTTTTAATTATATATAAAGTTACCATTTAGTAATTAACATAAGTTATAATAAATGAGAGAGGTTGTTTTTATTATACTTATTAGTTTATTACGTTTAAATTAATTATCCATTATTAGAAATCAGGCAAACAATAGTTTAAAAACGTAATCTGTTCTCCATGCTCAGGCCTGTTTCTTTTGGCTTAAAATATATTTCACGTTGTCCTGAACTCTTAACGAATGATGAAGGTGCGCAAAAAATTTTCATTGAGAAACTTGCCAAATCCCACTTTTTAGTGTCTTTATTGAAGCAGGTGTAGTTGTAAACACCCCACCACTTATAAGGGCATTCATTTTTTAGTAATGTTAATAGACTAAAGTCGAAGTTGACTTCGTCCATGTTGAATCAAAACTATGAATCAATTTAAAGTTTTAACTAATATTTTAAATTTTTAATCAAGTAAGCAAAAAAGAATAATAAATAAAAAGAATAATAATAATAAATAAAACTATTAATCAACTTATAAATAACATTTATAGTTGATAAATAATTATGTTTTGCATGGAAAATTAAAAAAATTAAATGCAACCCGTAACTACAGATAGACACAGCCACCCTGTATATAGTTTGTGCCTGATTGCAGTAATCTTTCCATAATAAAAATAATATAATTTTGTCTACAGCAACTCTGGTGTGCAAATAAACCTGTAAATAAATTTCTATTAACAAGGCTGAATGCAACGTAATAATTAATTTGAAAATCAACATCAATTTTTATTCAAATTTGTAGCAAATAAAAAAAATTACAATTTTATTTAGATAATTTTTATTCGTACGATTTTCCTTTTAAATTTTGAGTTTTTCCTCAAGGATTTTTGTTATTATACTTTTTCCCCTCAATTTCAATTTTCACATTTCTCCCAATTTTCACATTTCTGTAAAGCATTTTCCCCCCTCAATTTCAATTTTCACATTTCTGTAAAGCATTTTCATTTATACCCAGTTGGTCTAATAAGGCCAAATGGGTAAAAATTGGTCTAATTACAATCAGAGCCTTTAACAAAATTAACTTCTTTTGCTTGCTGTAAATCATCATTTACAACAAGCAAGCAAAATTTATATCAAGGGTACCACCGCTTTCATGTAGAGGATCGATACTCCAAATGAAAGCGGTAGTACCATTGATATAAAGTTTCCTTAAACATGCTATGATCTGTTTCTTATTCAGATGAACATTATCTTTGCATTTATGAAAATAACTTTTAAAATCAGTTTTAAGTTCATCAACAACAGTTTTGATTCCAGTTGATATGTCACTAGCTTAGTCAAGAAACGGTATGATATTTAAAGTGTCTGCTCTTACCTTTCGTAGCGCTTTCAAAGTGTTTTAGTATGCATACAATTATTGCAATATGCTGCAATTGATTTTCTGCAGGTTACCTGCTTCCGTAATTATAAAATCATTAATTATTCATGTTTTTGAGTCATATGAAATAATTTTTTACAGGTTACAGTGAAAATAGGTTGAAGTAAATATAACGGAATAGAATTAAACATAGAACTTAAATAAAATATAAAAAAGTACTCATTAGTTTTGATAACTAGGCAAAAAAAAAAAAAAAAAATATTGTTTTGCCAGAGGTAGCCAGTTTTTTATTTATTATAAATTTTCTGCAATAAATAGACTTTTCAAAAGTGGATTAATATTCTGACTACCTCTGTGGTAACACTTATTAAATCAATTCATTGTAGTGGGTTTTATTAAAAAGCGGTTAGTTAAAAAGTATAAAAAACAAAAAGACAAATATTTCTCAAAATGCTTTCAAACAATATTGAAATAAATTGGGATGATTTGTTTGATTCTGCTAACTTTAAAGATAGTGAAAATGACTCTTTATTCCAACCAGAAGATTTTATAGGTAAGATTTTATATTTATTATAAACTTAAATGATCTCTCGAATATTATTCAATTTTTTTTATTTTAACATTTTGAATAATTAGAAAATTAATTAGATAAAGTTATTAATTTTTCTTAATACCTGTATCGTATGCTATATTATTATTACATTTATTATAAATATTATAAATTTTACAAAATAAAATATATAATAAAATTATATATCTTATTTTTTTATTTAATTATCTGAGTACGTAGACTTATTTTTTTAAATTGATCAAATACTTGAATGTTATATATCATTAGAAAGCTCTCAAATACCGTATTTTAAAGGTGAAAAAATTATAAAAATTGGAAAATTCTATAAAAGGTTATGACGTTTTTAGTTGCAAATTTTCAATATATAGATTTCTTGATAAAACTGTGGTCAAAAAATTCTTTTTTTTGACATAAATTGTTATAACTTTGCCAATTCTCGTTCAAATATCTATAACTTGGTATCAAAAGATAGATGTAAAAATGAACTATTATTTTAAACTAGTTTCTCGATAAAAGGCGCATTGAGGGATCCAGAAGGGGTGCCAATTTTTCACCTTCACCTCACAAAAATACACTTTTTTTCATAAAAGAGGTTTTTTTTTTTATGAAAATGGTATTGTTTATGTATAACAAGTTGTTACCCCATATATATTTATTTTTAACACACCCTATCAAAATTTCATTCTTTTAAATATTCCAATCTTTACTAAAATAAGTATATCTATTATAAAAAGCTTAATTTCAATATTTTGAAAAACAGTAACTAGTAGTGTATAAATCGTCTTTACGGGAGGGGGCCAATATGCACCACCCCCTCTGCCCCAAACCTAAAAAATATTTTTAATGACAATTTCACAAAAATGTTAAAATGTTTTTTTAAACAGAGAGAAATTAGTATAAAAAAACTACTTTATTTCTTTATGTAAAGAGAGGGATTACCCACTTCAACCTAAAAAAAGCAAACACAAAAACAACAATCTTTTTGTCTTTGAATGAATTGATTTTCATTTTTCCAATTCGATTAATGAACAAAGTTAAATCATTTTTAACAATAGACACAACGTGAAGGTAATCCAGAGCCGTCTATCAAAAAAATTTGCAAGCCACAAAACTTGCTTTACCTATTTGCAAGCCACAAAACTTGCGGTACTAATTTGCAAGTTAAATAACATATTCAGATTAAGGTGGCACACAACTGAAAAAAAGCAAGTTTTTTGAAAAAAATCAATTTTTAGATTTTGGGGTATTTTGATTCTATAACCATTCCTTGAACATATAAAAAAAAAATTTGTCTCAAAAATGATATAAAAGTTGATTTAATATCATTTTAGTAGATGACACTTGAAAATAAATTCCCTAACAACGCCTTAGCAACCATCACTCATAAGAGTTTTTCTGAATTCAAAACAGTAAAACACCATCACAAACTTGGTTTTAATTTGTTATACGCAGACTCTTGTAAGTTTTCCGTTTTAAAAGTCATAATTCAAAATTTTATTTTAGAGCAAGAGTGTTTTTGATAATTTTTATGTTCTTATATATTTTTTTCTTATTTTTGCTTTTTTCTCAATATGTATTTTTTTAAACTTTGAAACACATTTTCTCATTAACAAAACAGAATTACATAATAAATCTTTCAGGATTTGTTTATCATAGTATAATACTTCATTTAACCCTCAGAATTTTCATAAAAATTTATAGAAAGTGAAATATTGTTGTTTATAGTGCTATATTTATTGATATTTCATATATATATTAGGTGATTTTGTTAGAAATGCAATATTTCATGAAATAATTTAAATCATAAAAATTCCCACGGTCAAATAGGGTGAAATATGATTAGGAAGCTATGCTCAAAATTTTAGTTTCAGTTGTTAGAGGAAAATTAAGTTATTAGGTTTTGAAGACTTACTAAAAACACATGTTTTACAACACATTTTTGGCCATTATGGATAATAAAATTGATTAAAAAAAAAATTGTCTGTTTTTTATTTTATTTTAATATAAATTAATTGTCATTAAAAAAAAAAAAAATCAAAATTTTGATTATTTACAAAAAAACTTGTTTTCAGTTGTGTGCCACCTTAAGAAAATACTAACTCTTCTGATACAACATCTGGAGTTTTTTCATGCAATATTCATGCAATATTCATGCAATATTTAACTGCTTCAATTTCAGTTTGACCTTGTTTCTAGTAAGAAATAATGTAAATTCTGTCTGCTTGCCTTCTGATTACTTTTTCAACTCTGCCATCATAAATAACAGACTTTGAATTGTCAGAATCATAGCATTTATGACAGAGTTTTTTGCCAACAATTCTTTCTAACATAAAATTATCTAGATCATCAATTTGCTTCGCAGATGAGCGTTTATATTAATTTATCATTTTGCTAATAATTAATACACGCAGTTGACGCTCTAACTTTTTTTTTTTTTTTTTGTTCAATTTTTGGTGTTTGGAGGTCTGCTTGTTAAAAATCTCTTCTTGAATTTCATCATGTTTTGGCTGAATTCTCATTCATGATTTTAAAGTATTTGAGAGAAGCTGTTTCCTAAAAAAATTAGTCGTTCTACAAAACAGAGGTGCAAGATTGGATTTACAATGGTTAATAATTTCCAAAACTTCTTTTACTACCTGGATACCAGCTATATGATCAAAAGTTACATCCTCAGAAGATACATAAAACTTTTTCATCCATATTCTAGTTAAAAGTTTCAAAATATCCTGAGCATACATATTTTTTATAGCTGTTGCATTGCAAAATGCTGCTCGCAGAGCTACTTGTAAATTACCACATTTTACTGTACCATTAGTAAGCTAATGTAAAAAATCAGCATAGTGATTAATAAAAATATAACATGTATGGAAAAAAAAGTGTGAAGACGATTTCCTCAATATGTTAGAATGATATATGTTATATATGTTTATATGTTTATATATGCTTCTAAAAATAGCCGTTTAGAATATAATGTATAAAGAAAAATTGTTTTTATAGCCAAATTTTTGTTTTTTTTTAGTTACTATTTTATATACTATATATATAAATATCCGGTACAACTCTAGTTTTCACAAGTAAAAATGTATTTGCATGTGCTATATTTTTGCTGTCCACCGTAAACTAAAAGAAGGTGATTTACTACTTCACACATCGATACAATATAAGCATATGGATACAATATATGCAGGTGTGCATAGATTTATATATCTCCCTATATATATATATATATATATATAATATATATATATATATATATATATATATATATATATATATATGAATATATGTATATGTACGTGATATATATATACATATATACATATATATATATATATATATATATATATATATATATATATATATATATATATATATATATATATATATATATATATATATATATATATATATGAATATATGTATATGTACGTGATATATATATACATATATATATATATATATATATATATATATATATATATATATATATATATATATATATATATATATGTATATATGTATATATATATCACGTACATATACATATATTCATATATATATATATATATATATATATATATATATATATATATATATATATATATATATATATAATATATATATATATATATGTATATATATATATATATATATATTTATATATATATATATATATATATATATATATATATATATAAATGTATATATATATTCATATATATATATATATTTATATATATATAATAATTATATATATATAAAAATGTACATATACATATATTCATATATATATTAGGTTGACCGGAAAGTAATGTCGTATTTTTACGTCAAATTAAAACTAATAATTTTTTTATAATAATTATTTTTAATCAATGATATAATCACCCTCATTTTCCACAACATTTTGCCATCTATCGGGCAAATTTTCTATACCAGATTGAAAAAAATGTATTGGTTTGTCATCAAAATATCTGGAGATGCCATTTTTTAAGCAGTACAAAGTTTGAAATTTTTTGTCACTTAGAAAGTGCTGTAAGGATCGGAACAAATGGAAGGGGCGATATCAGGTGAATATGGAGGGTGGTACAGCACCTCCCATCCCAATTCATTAATTTTTTCTAGCGTCCGTCGTGTACAGTGCGGCCTTGCATTGTCATGTTGAAGAATGACACCTTTTCTGTTGACGATAGCCGGGTAATTCTCAACTAGAGTTTGGTTCACTCGATCCAATTGTTGACAATAAAGGTACGCATTAACAGTTTGTCCAGGAATAAGCACTTCAAAGTGGACGATTCCGCGAATGCTCCACCAAACACACAGGAGCGCCTTCTTGGGGTGTAATCCCGGCTTTGCAGTACTGTGTGCTGGTTCATTTGGGGAGAGCCACTGCCTTTTGCGTTTTGGATTATCGTATAGGACCCATTTTTCATCTCCAGTGACCAAACGATCAAGAAACGGTTCTGCATGGTGCCGTTGAATCAATGCATTGCACGTGTTTGATCTGTTGGCTTTGTTTTGCACTGACAAGTTATGGGGGACCCAAACACCTGCTCTGCTGATTTTTCCTATCTGGTGTAAATGTTCTTGGATGGTCGACCAAGGTTGGTTAAGGGTGTTCGACAATTCTTCAATGGTTTGGCATGGATTTGCTTCAACTTCTGCCTTTAGAACGTCGTTGTCTAATGACAATGGTCTTCCTGGTCGATGGGCATCAGAAAGATCAAAATTCCCAGATCTAAACTTGGAAAACCATCTTTGGCATTTGCGAACATCTAATGAACCTGGGTAAACATCACTAATGTTCTTAGTCGCAACTGTAGCGTTATTACCCTTGCGAAATTCAAAAAGCATACAATGACGAATATGCACTTCCTGTATTTCGTATGCCATTTCACTCCTATTCGCAAAGAAAACTATTTAATTTTAAATAATTTAGAAGTAAACAAGTCACACTAATATAAAAATAACCTGTGCACGTGTTCGAGATAAACAATAAACTGGCCAACGATTATCTAATGTCAACATGCGCAAAAACGACATTACTTTCCGGTCAACCTAATATATATAAATATATGTATATGTACGTGATATATATATACATATATATATATATATATATATATATATATATATATATATATATATATATATATATATATATATATATATATATATATATATATATATATATATATATATATGTATATATATATTTATATATATATATATAAATATATATATATATATGTATATATATATATATATATATATATATATATATATATATATATATATATATATATATATATATATATATATATATATGTATATATATATATATATATATATATATATATATATATATATATATATATATATATATATATATATATATATATATATATATATATATATGTATATATATATGTGTGTGTGTGTGTGTGTGTGTGTGTGTGTGTGTGTGTGTGTGTGTGTGTGTGTGTGTGTGTGTGTGTGTGTGTGTGTGTGATGCAGCTGTTAAAAGCAAAAAAAAAAATTATAGAAAAAATTCAGGATACAAAACTAAACAAATTAATAGAACAACAAACAAAAAACATTTCTTATCAAATTTATTGACAATCCATCTCATTTTGCAGATTTTTTTATACAACATCGCAAGTGGTACAAATCGATCAGTTAAACATTAAATGAACCGCATACCTTGTTATGTATGATAATTAACCTGATGAAGTATGGTCATTTCCTTAGTTAATTGATTTTGAAAAAGGTGATCTTATTCTTTGTAGTTAGGATTGTGAGGTAATTCTTTAAATAAAAATTCAGAATTATGTTGCAGTATGCATTCATCTTATTCCTTTTATTATTATGTTCCAACAATTTGTTTTTACTGCATTTGAGTACAGTGATTTTTATCTTTAAATTGGTATGAATTATATCTGATATGTTTATATGTACCAATTTTGTTTAATTTAAAGATATTTTTATATTATATATCAATATTATATATCTCTATGCTTAACTTCACATTATACACAACATGCATAACTTAATTTATATCTCTATGTTTAACTGCACATTGTTATAAATATTAAGAATAAAATTAAAAAAAAACAAAAAAAGTATTATGCAAAATTACTATTACTTTTACATGAACTGCCAAAGTAAAGGAAAGAATCCAGAAATGGAGAGCTAACCTTAAACAACATGACAGCTCACTGATGAAGTGTAAAGTCCTATAGCTTACCTTCTCGTTGGTGCACTTCGTTAAGTTAAACAATTTTGTCTAATTTATGAACGGCAAATTTTGTATAAAATTGTTTAATGACAATATGATGTCCGCAGTTTTGAAGGAATTTTAAAAATCTAAATTTCTGAGTTCAAACAATTTGCATTATAAAGACAAATTTGGGTACGTTATTAATACGATTTTTTTTTTTGAAGACAAAACAACTTAAGACATCTTTTAAAATATTTAAGACATCTTTTGCAACTTGAAATAGAACATAATCCATATAAGTACATTGACTAAAACTGTTATTTTAGGTACACAATCAAATAAAACAAAACACAATAATTTAAGAAGGAGAATAAATATCTTGTTGTTGTTGTTTTTGTTGTTGTAGTAATCAAATAAAAAAATTCAACGAGTTTTTCATTCATCATTTTCAAAAAAATTCAAAACCCTAAAACAGTATATTAAATTATAAAATAAAACCCAACCCTATTTTAAAAAATAATAACTTTTATATTATCATAAGTGGGGAGAATAATAAATTAGTCTAAACAACAGACTTTAAGCGCTTAAATTTCTTTTGGAATCTATGATAATACTGAAATTATTAACAAATCGTTGACTAACATTTTTTTTTTATTTGTGTAAGATTTTAGATTTATCCTTATTTTGTACGTATTTTGACGTTTTCGGCCTCTTTTGTTTGGGTCCAGGCTTTTCTGTTGATAATTTATTAAAAAAAGTTCAAATAAAAGTTAATTTAAATTAATATTTTTCTCAAAGTTTTGTTACGCTTTGTTATTTTTTGTTAGTTTTTTTTACGGATTATAAATTGCCATTTAAAAATTTAAGCTATGTTAAAAAAGTTTAAAACATATTCTACTGTTAAATAAAGTTATATTTATAAATTGTTCAAATAGTTCTGTTTTACAATTAATTTCTAATAAAATTTTATTAAAATTTTGTTAACACGAAAAGTTTTTACGCGAGAAAAATTTTTTTATTTTTCGGTGTCAAAAATTTAACGAGATACTTTAAGAAAATATTTCATAAAAAGTCAACGAGTTAAAAATATTAAAACACGTATATCTTTGGATCTAAATAAGCTACAGAATCGGTTGAAACCTATTTAGAAATAAAGTATATATTAAGGAATCCAAAGCATTTAAAATAAGAAATATTTACATTCGTTATTAAAGTTGCTTAAACTCCCTAATATATAAGTTTTATTTTATGCAAAGAAAATTCAAAAATTTAAATTTTTATATTTTTGAAGACATTTTAACAAAAAGCCAATTTTTTCCAGAAACTCAAACTGAATGATAATAAAACATTAAATGTTTAAAATTGTTTATATGTATTTTGGTGATATATTGACAGGTTGTTTGAAAAGTTTTGAAGCCAATAATAAAAAAAGGGTATTTTTTAAGGAATATATTTTTTATTCAATAAAATTTCTCTCAGTTTGGACACATTCTTAAAAATTATTAATTTTTATGCGGACCGCCCTCAAAGTAGTTGTCCAATCACCGCTACGACTCAGAAGAACGTCATCAAGGTGCGATGTCGAATCCGGCGCAATCCGGAGAGGTCGAAGCGAAAAGTAGCCAATAAGCTCAGAATCAATGAGAAAAGCGTTTGTCACATTGTCAAGAGGAAGCTGGATCTGCACAGTTACAAGATTGTTTGCGTCCACTTCTTGAATGAGATGATAAAGGCGAAATGTCCGCAGAAATACCACCGAATGGTCGGCTGGTCGGCGGTGGTCGTCTGAACAAAGTGCTCTTTACCGAAGGGAAGATCTTCACGGTCGAGCCGTTTCAGTCAATTTGTGCCCACACTTTTTAAAGTGAGGGGGCTGAAGCCCCACTGTTCCGCCACCCCTGATGTACACTGTTGTGTACGCATTAACAACACAAATAAAGAAAAAAACAGTTCTACAATTGATCCTGCAAGTAACGTATAATAACCGTCTATGCTGTACAGTATACACCGTTAATTATTTTTCTTAATATTTGAAAAGTTAAAGTTTACATCTATCACTTCTAATTATCTCAGAAACCTCTAATAAATAATTTTCAGACTTATACGCTTAAGAGATTGGAATTAGCTTCTGAGCCAAATTTTTTTAGAAAATTTTCGGGACACTCAAATGTTTAATTTTTCAATTTCAATTCATATTCCTGTTGATAAATACTGTACACTCACAAACGAGATAGGAGGAGTCCAAACTAAAAAGCTTTTTCTCGCCAAGTTTTATTTGTTGCGAAACATCCTTATTTTTTATTTGGCTAAAGCGGGATCTAAATTTCACAAGTTCGAATTTGAACAAATTTAAAAAACTTGTTTGGCTTTTTATTTTAAACTTTACCGCCAAATGCAATTACTCTAAAAAAGTAAAATAAAAAGCTATAGAACGAGATATATTTTTATTTAATTATTTGAAAGTATAATATAATTTAAACGTCTTTTAAACTCGAACTTAATATTTTTTCTTCATTTTTTCTAGGCTTGATTATTCAGATGCGCTATTATTGTTGGCGCTAAAGTAATGTCGCTATCCGAGTCCATTTTTGCTTTTTGTACTTTTTTTTCTTTAAATAATTTAGTTTAAATTAGAAAAAAGTTATTGAGTTCCTTACTTTTTCATTATTTTTGTTTGCATTGTTTTTTTTATTTCAATATCTCGGATTTTCGCTGGAAGTTATATAGTACATATATTTATATAAGTTAGAAAAACATTTTCACAAAAAAACTTTTAGGTATAAAATGAAAAAAAAAAAAAAAAAAAGTAATTAACTTTTGAATCGAATTTTAATATAAATTTATTTTTCTTTAAAATAAATAATATTTACAATTTAACAACATTTTATATTTACATAAAAATAATACTAAATTAACAATGAGCAGAGTTTTTCTGTGCGACTTCAATCTAGGAAATGACATGCCAACATCTCAGAAATTGCAGTCTTTTTCACATTGTGGCTAGTTTTAAAATATTTGTTTTAAATAGCAGTTTACAAGAAACAATTTGCGAGCTGGAAATGTTATACTGTGAGTTTTCTTTTTGGGGACTTTTTAGGTGATTTTCTCGGCGATTTTTTGGGCGATTTTTTAGGTGATTTTTTTGCTTTCTTTACTCTTGGTTTTTTTGCTGCTCCATGTTTTTTAGGGGTTTTCTTTACTTTCTTCTTGGTTTTCTTTACCTTCTTTTTAGGAGTTAATTTTTTTGCCGATTTTTTTTTCGGTGACTTTCTCTTTTTTTTGCTTAAAGAAAGGCTTTTCTTGACTACTTTTGGTTTAGCACCTATTCGAAATGAGCCAGATGCGCCAGTTCCTTTCACTTGAACTAACGCTTTGTTAGCCACCATACGTTTTAAGTTCATCTTTACTTGCAAATCAACGTTTTCGCCTACTTTATTATTAGCCTTGACATGTTTAGCGATAGCTTGTCGAGACGATCCTTTACGTTCTTTAAGTGATTTGATAGCCTCAATAATCATTTCGTTGTAAGGAGCATGATTAGCAGGCTTTTTAACCGTTTTTCGTTTTGTCACTTTTTTCGGCGAAGAATGTTGAGACATTTTTGATTCTACTTGTTATATTATCGTTGTGTTTATCCACTTGCTTTTTTGTGAATTTTATCGTTATTTAAATAATGTTTTGCGGACTGTAGAGGAGACTTATGGAAATTCAGTTTTTAGCAATATCACTCTATACTGTGTTTTATTTCAACACTAAAACAATCAGAATTTCATTTTTATAAATTCTTAACTCTCTATTTATTTAAAATTTTATATTGGAGTAGTATGCCTTTAAGTAATATAGCAATTTCATAATTTGACTAAAAAAAAAAGAAGATAAGATTGAGTTAATGTAGACAAGAAGTTGTTTTTAAAACCAATGGAGTGCACACAAATACAAATTCACGCTATATTTCTAAATCATTTCAACAAAAAAATTTCTCAACAAAAAACTATATAATAGGTGTTTCCAAAAAATATTAAACCGCTTTCTTAGCTTTATTTTCTATAACTGGGATTTAAAAGATTCAAAAGTCACTAACACAAACTATAATAGGTTAGCGTTAGCGATTTACATCGAATACTTTTAATCGAATAGCTTAACAAATACATGAAGTATGTTTCAAGTAATTTTATAATTTAGGCCGTTTAACATTTTAAAAAAATTTAAAATATTTAACTAGTTTAAAATCTTTCTTTAGTGTTGCAAGGTTATTTTTACAAGCACCTTTTTCACCCGGCACTCGTTTCCGCCTTGTTTAACAAAATAAGCTGCGTAATAGGTACCGAAATTTGAGAACAGGAAAAAAAAATTTCTTTATTAAAAAAGCATTTCTCAAACCTAATAAAAGTAACAATTGTTTAGTTGTTATTGGTTGCAGAAAGATTACGAATTGTGTTTTGAGGAAAAACTTTGTGTCAATGGTGTACTTATATTTTTATTAAATAAATTTGCACGTGTTTTTAGATTTATGCGTTTTTTGCTCTTCAAAATTTTTTGTCAAATGGTCTTTTTCTGACCTGCCTATTCAGACATTAATCTAATGTCCGTTTGAAAAAAAAACAACAATAGTGATACGCAAGTTTACCACCAATAGACCTTGCCAACACGTAAATGGTGTACCAAAGTCTGTTAACAGTTGCTTAGTTCGGAAGTTTCAATACAATTTTGCCCCTTTAAAATCTACAACGCTAGTATGCAGTTACGTATTAGCAATAATTCAGGAAGTATTTACTATTGCACAATTTTATGCAAAAAAATTTGGACAGTAAAGTTCTATACATCAGATAAAATGATGAAACTCTAGTTCCATTTTTTCACTTATGATTATGGGTTAATTATTTCTAAAGTTTGGATATAAAACATTTTTTTTTAAAAAAATAGAATTTTATTTCATTCAAACGAATAAAAAAATTGTTGAACTTTCGTTCGATAGTAAAAAAAAAATTCATTCAATCTAACGAAAAAAACATTCTACGGTAAAAAATTACTTCATTCAATCGTCAAAAAATAATTTTTTATTTTTGACGGCAATCAAATACGAAATAAACAAAACAAACAAAAAAGACTTTGAAATATCTTAAACTTTGAAATGACTTTAGCAAATAATATATATATATATATATATATATATATATATATATATATATATATATATATATATATATATATATATAATATATATATATATATATATATATATATATATATATATATATATATATATATATATATATATATATATATATATATATATATATATATATATATATATATATATATATATATTGTTATAACCACTAATTTGGTTTCGTAAATAACCTACTAATACTAACTTTGGTTTCGTAAATAACCTACTAATAATAACTACTTTACTGAAATTATTATTTTTCTTAAATTAGATTTAGCCTATTTTAGATTTTAATTGTTATCAAGTTTTTTCCTTTTTACATATATAATTATATTGCTTTCAATCACTTTGTTTTTATTTAAATTTAAAAATCGTGCAATAAAAAGGTTCCCATTCTACATGACAAAAACAAAAACATTCTTCTAATTAAATCGTGAGTAGACGCATGCTAGGTATGATGAACCTAAATACAATGATAAAAGTTGAATATAGCTTTTATGAATAGAGCATTCAAAATAGCTATATACAATTTTTACCTTTACTTGAGTAAAACTTTTGCCTTGTTTAAAATGTTTAGATAACAACGATACTTTATTTCAAATATTGTTTTTTTAAAATAATATTTACAACATTATAATAACAATATATATTTACATGAAATTATTGAAATAATTCAATAAAATGCAAAGTCTATTAAATGACTTGTTTAAAAATTGCGGTTTTATATATCATACTCAGTTTTAAATAATATTTTACTAAACAGACAAATAAAAATGCATAAAGTTTTAACGGTTATACTGCAAGTTTTCTTTTTGGTGATTTTTTTGGTAATTTTTTAGGGGATTTTTTAACTTTTTTATCTCGATGTTTTTTTGCAGAACTTCTCTTTTTAGGGCTCTTTTTTACAATTTTCTTGGTTTTCTTTGTTTTCTTTTTAGGTGTTAATTTTTTTGCAGATGCTGATTTTTTTTTGGGCGACTTTCTCTTGGTTTTTTTGCTTATAGACCGTCGCTTTTTAACCACTTTTTTAGCACCTATTCTAAATGAACCAGATGCGCCTGTTCCTTTCATTTGAACCAAGGTTTTGTTAGCAACCATTCGCTTCAGATTCATCTTCACTTGCAAATCAACGTTTTCTCCAACTTTGTTGTGAGCTTTGACATGCTTGGTAATTGCTTGCCGCGAAGATCCTTTACGTTCTTTAAGCGATTTAATAGCATCAATAATCATATCGTTGTAGGGAGCATGATGTGTAGGCTTTTTAACCGCTTTTTTTTTTGCCACCTTTTTTGGTGACAAATGTTGAGACATCTTTCTAATAACGCGTTATGTTAAACAACTTTTTTTGTTACTGTCGTTTGTATTTAAAGTTTTTTACACGGACGTGCGAGGAACATGTTACAAAGATTTTATTTTTGCAAGTTTACTGTTTAGCGTGTTTTTCTTGCAAAGCACAGACATTATTAATTTCATTAGCACTAATATTTAATGGGTTAACTAGGCTAAATTTTTTGCTTATTTTGTATTTCTTCCAAAGTAGCATTTATTTTGAGTGTAAGTCTTTAGAAAAATAAAGTTTTGAGTCAAAGTAGGTAAGATACAGATCTAAAAAACAACTTAAGACGCACACATGTATGGTGAAGGCTATTTTTGATGCTATTTTTAGGCTACATTGAACATTAGAAAAAAACTGCGAAACAGACGTTTTAATAAAAATGAAATCCAACTTTTAGCGAAGTTGTTTCTCACTGTGGTTTAATATATTCGAACGTTACTAACACGAATACATCTTTGTAACTCGCTTGTAATCAAATACTTGTTTTAAAACTTTGAAATAGTTGAGTACCTAACAAGTTAGTTTAGCAAAGGTTATTTAAAAATATAATTTGTCAAAAGTGATGCAGTAAGTTGTTGCTAGCGGTTTTCTTTTCTCATTAATAAAAATTAATTAGACTCAATAATTTTTTATTTAGAGTTTTATTTAGAGAAATATATGTTGAATTGAACCAGTGGCAGAACTACCATACCGCAAAAACCCACGGAGGAGGGAAGCAGAGCTGTTTAAAAATTATTATCAATTTTAAAAAATTCAATCCTATATTAAAGTAACGTCTGACCAAAAAGTTATCATATCTTATCACCATATGATTAATTGATAATTATCATATCTTATCATCTTATCGTCTAATTATCATTTATTCAAATATTGTTTTTTTAAAATAATATTTACAACATTATAATAACAATATATATTTACATGAAATTATTGAAATAATTCAATAAAATGCAAAGTCTATTAAATGACTTGTTTAAAAATTGCGGTTTTATATATCATACTCAGTTTTAAATAATATTTTACTAAACAGACAAATAAAAATGCATAAAGTTTTAACGGTTATACTGCAAGTTTTCTTTTTGGTGATTTTTTTGGTAATTTTTTAGGGGATTTTTTAACTTTTTTATCTCGATGTTTTTTTGCAGAACTTCTCTTTTTAGGGCTCTTTTTTACAATTTTCTTGGTTTTCTTTGTTTTCTTTTTAGGTGTTAATTTTTTTGCAGATGCTGATTTTTTTTTGGGCGACTTTCTCTTGGTTTTTTTGCTTATAGACCGTCGCTTTTTAACCACTTTTTTAGCACCTATTCTAAATGAACCAGATGCGCCTGTTCCTTTCATTTGAACCAAGGTTTTGTTAGCAACCATTCGCTTCAGATTCATCTTCACTTGCAAATCAACGTTTTCTCCAACTTTGTTGTGAGCTTTGACATGCTTGGTAATTGCTTGCCGCGAAGATCCTTTACGTTCTTTAAGCGATTTAATAGCATCAATAATCATATCGTTGTAGGGAGCATGATGTGTAGGCTTTTTAACCGCTTTTTTTTTTGCCACCTTTTTTGGTGACAAATGTTGAGACATCTTTCTAATAACGCGTTATGTTAAACAACTTTTTTTGTTACTGTCGTTTGTATTTAAAGTTTTTTACACGGACGTGCGAGGAACATGTTACAAAGATTTTATTTTTGCAAGTTTACTGTTTAGCGTGTTTTTCTTGCAAAGCACAGACATTATTAATTTCATTAGCACTAATATTTAATGGGTTAACTAGGCTAAATTTTTTGCTTATTTTGTATTTCTTCCAAAGTAGCATTTATTTTGAGTGTAAGTCTTTAGAAAAATAAAGTTTTGAGTCAAAGTAGGTAAGATACAGATCTAAAAAACAACTTAAGACGCACACATGTATGGTGAAGGCTATTTTTGATGCTATTTTTAGGCTACATTGAACATTAGAAAAAAACTGCGAAACAGACGTTTTAATAAAAATGAAATCCAACTTTTAGCGAAGTTGTTTCTCACTGTGGTTTAATATATTCGAACGTTACTAACACGAATACATCTTTGTAACTCGCTTGTAATCAAATACTTGTTTTAAAACTTTGAAATAGTTGAGTACCTAACAAGTTAGTTTAGCAAAGGTTATTTAAAAATATAATTTGTCAAAAGTGATGCAGTAAGTTGTTGCTAGCGGTTTTCTTTTCTCATTAATAAAAATTAATTAGACTCAATAATTTTTTATTTAGAGTTTTATTTAGAGAAATATATGTTGAATTGAACCAGTGGCAGAACTACCATACCGCAAAAACCCACGGAGGAGGGAAGCAGAGCTGTTTAAAAATTATTATCAATTTTAAAAAATTCAATCCTATATTAAAGTAACGTCTGACCAAAAAGTTATCATATCTTATCACCATATGATTAATTGATAATTATCATATCTTATCATCTTATCGTCTAATTATCATTTATTCAAATATTGTTTTTTTAAAATAATATTTACAACATTATAATAACAATATATATTTACATGAAATTATTGAAATAATTCAATAAAATGCAAAGTCTATTAAATGACTTGTTTAAAAATTGCGGTTTTATATATCATACTCAGTTTTAAATAATATTTTACTAAACAGACAAATAAAAATGCATAAAGTTTTAACGGTTATGCTGCAAGTTTTCTTTTTGGTGATTTTTTTGGTAATTTTTTAGGGGATTTTTTAACTTTTTTATCTCGATGTTTTTTTGCAGAACTTCTCTTTTTAGGGCTCTTTTTTACAATTTTCTTGGTTTTCTTTGTTTTCTTTTTAGGTGTTAATTTTTTTGCAGATGCTGATTTTTTTTTGGGCGACTTTCTCTTGGTTTTTTTGCTTATAGACCGTCGCTTTTTAACCACTTTTTTAGCACCTATTCTAAATGAACCAGATGCGCCTGTTCCTTTCATTTGAACCAAGGTTTTGTTAGCAACCATTCGCTTCAGATTCATCTTCACTTGCAAATCAACGTTTTCTCCAACTTTGTTGTGAGCTTTGACATGCTTGGTAATTGCTTGCCGCGAAGATCCTTTACGTTCTTTAAGCGATTTAATAGCATCAATAATCATATCGTTGTAGGGAGCATGATGTGTAGGCTTTTTAACCGCTTTTTTTTTTGCCACCTTTTTTGGTGACAAATGTTGAGACATCTTTCTAATAACGCGTTATGTTAAACAACTTTTTTTGTTACTGTCGTTTGTATTTAAAGTTTTTTACACGGACGTGCGAGGAACATGTTACAAAGATTTTATTTTTGCAAGTTTACTGTTTAGCGTGTTTTTCTTGCAAAGCACAGACATTATTAATTTCATTAGCACTAATATTTAATGGGTTAACTAGGCTAAATTTTTTGCTTATTTTGTATTTCTTCCAAAGTAGCATTTATTTTGAGTGTAAGTCTTTAGAAAAATAAAGTTTTGAGTCAAAGTAGGTAAGATACAGATCTAAAAAACAACTTAAGACGCACACATGTATGGTGAAGGCTATTTTTGATGCTATTTTTAGGCTACATTGAACATTAGAAAAAAACTGCGAAACAGACGTTTTAATAAAAATGAAATCCAACTTTTAGCGAAGTTGTTTCTCACTGTGGTTTAATATATTCGAACGTTACTAACACGAATACATCTTTGTAACTCGCTTGTAATCAAATACTTGTTTTAAAACTTTGAAATAGTTGAGTACCTAACAAGTTAGTTTAGCAAAGGTTATTTAAAAATATAATTTGTCAAAAGTGATGCAGTAAGTTGTTGCTAGCGGTTTTCTTTTCTCATTAATAAAAATTAATTAGACTCAATAATTTTTTATTTAGAGTTTTATTTAGAGAAATATATGTTGAATTGAACCAGTGGCAGAACTACCATACCGCAAAAACCCACGGAGGAGGGAAGCAGAGCTGTTTAAAAATTATTATCAATTTTAAAAAATTCAATCCTATATTAAAGTAACGTCTGACCAAAAAGTTATCATATCTTATCACCATATGATTAATTGATAATTATCATATCTTATCATCTTATCGTCTAATTATCATTTATTCAATTCAAATTCCTTAAGTGCTTTAAGAAGTTTAAGAATAATATATATATATATATATATATATATATATATATATATATATATATATATATATATATATATAAAATATATTATATATTTACATATATATATATATATATATATATATATATATATATATATTATATATTTACATATATATATATATATATATATATATATATATATATATATATATATATATATATATATATATATATATATATATATATGTATATATAAATAATTTACATATATATATATATATATATATATATATATATATATATATATATATATATATATATATATATGTAAATATATGTGTGTGTGTATATATATATATATATATATATATATACATATATATATACATATATATATATATATATATATATATATATATATATATATATATATATATATATATATATATATATATATATATATATATATATATATATATATTTATTTATTTATTTATTTATTTATATTGTTGTAAAATACATATTAAAAAAATGCTTCTGAAAGAAGATCATTATGATGTTATCATTAAAACCTTTCTTTTTTTAAAAACAAAATATGAAAAAATAACAATAACGTATACTATGAAAACTGTAAATATAAATTATAAGAATCTAGGTCTAGTTTTCCAAATAGTTTCCGCTTATTTTACTAAAAAAAATTAAACTGATACAGACATTTTATGACGCTTTATAAAACTTATATTAATGTTTTGATTGTATAAAACTGGATTGGATAGCAGACACATATGAGCTGGGATTTATAGCAATTACTTGTTTGTGTTATTGTTAGGGAGACTAAGGTTTATGGTAAAGGAATTAGGGCTTCTCAACTATCAAAAATAAAATTTAAAATTAATCTTGTGATGCAAGAAAACTTTTTTGAAAAAGGGAACACAGTTTTAAATTTTTACCAATAAATATTAGTTGACGTTTTTTGCTTGAATAAAGGATAATATAAGATAAAGTTACAATATGTGTACTTGAATGTGCTTGAAGTCCAAAAATTTTTTAAAAATAATTTTTAACCTGTATCTGAAAATAGCAATTCATAAAAAAAAAGAAGACTTTACTGCCCACTTAACATTTCATTCTACACAGCTTCAATCTAAATCATTAACCAAAAGCTCTAACGTTTTTTTTACAAACATTTAAACTTTAGTGGTTTTTTCATACTTGTTAGAATTTAAATCTTTGAACATGTTTTTAATTTGTGACCAGTCCCATGGTATGTTTATTGAATTTAGAATTTATTTAATATTTAATGAGACAAGGCTTAACTTGATCTGTAATACTGATACCATTATTCAAATGATTTTCAAGCATATTTTCTGATGAGTTCATTAACTGTAATTAGAAAAAAAAGTTTTTTTTTTACTGTATATATACTATATAATATACTGTTAAGTGTTTATTTGCAAGAAGTAAATTGCTTTGAGTATCACGTTAAAAAAGACATTAATGGGTGTTATAATAGCCTATTTGAAAATGGAGCAATTCCTCTGATAAACAAACCAAATAGAATTAATCAAACAATTTCCTTAATTGATAGCATTATAACCAACAATATTTTTAATAATCCGCTATTTTCATATTAATTATTTACCTATTTTCATTTCCCTATTTTCTTTAATTTTACATTTTGTATATAATTAAAAAAAATCATTTAAAAAACGAATTTTTTATAACAAAACCTAGAATTTTTTAAATATCAACTTTCTTTAGTTAATTGGCACATTATTAACTTTTCTGAAGACATTACTTTAATATACAAATCTTTTTTTAAAATTAATAATGAAATTTATGACATTAATTTTCCCAAAGTAGAAAAGGTGTTCCGCAAGGATCCATACTTGTACCACTTTTCTTTTTTATGTATAATGATCTTAATAAAACCTCAAGCTTAACATCAGTAATCTTTGCTGATGACACAAACTTGTTTTTATCTCATGAAATTACAAATATACTTTTCAATAACATGACAAACGAGCTTAAAAAAGTTTCTTTTTGGTTTAAAATAAATAAATCTCTAAAAATTGACAAAACTAAATGGACACTTTTCCATCCACACCTAAAAAAAAATAAGATTGCTAACTCTAATGCCTGACCTTTTTATTGTCAATATCGTTATTAAAAGAGAAAAAGTTGTAAAGTTTTTAGGAGTGTATATTGATGAAAATCTATCTTGGAAAAATCATATTGACAGTACCTTCTCAAAAGTAGCAAAATCTATTGGCATTATATATAAAGCTAGAGACATTTACAACTAACGCAGCTATACTATTCCTTTATTAATTGCCACATCAATTGTGCAAATACAGTATGGGGTAGCAACAATAAAACAAAACTTAAATCTCTTTATCATCATCAGAAACACGCAGCTCGTGCAATAACTTTTAAAAACCGTTTTACGCCCTTTAAGCCACTTCTGCAGGAAATGAAAGTCTTAAATATTTACAACTAAACGTATATAACATTTTATACTTTATGTTTAAATGAAAACAAAAATTATCTCTCTGGGGAGTATTTAAAAATCTTTGTGTAATAAAACCCAAAAATAAGTATGATTTACGTATGTAAATAAGTATGATTTACGATAATTATCTTAATGCCCCTTTTTGTCGGAATAAGTATACTCACTTTTATATTTCTTATCGTGGTCCATATCTATGGAACAAAATAGTTATATCTAATATAGACTTTTCTATTAACTTGACTTAAACAAAAATTAAAAGAAATTATTTTTTTTCTATGGAGAAAAAACAATTTTTTTTAATTTTTGTAAATAAAGATGCTTTCTATAGAAAACATCTTTATTTACGAAAAATCCGAATTTGTGTGCAACTACGGAGAGATCGCACACAAATTCGGATTTTTTTGACGTTTTAGAGAAAAGGGGGTATAAGCAGCTTTTATATATAATTATTTTATAATTGTTTTATTTTATTTTATATACAGTATTGGACAATGCTTGTGCAACCAACATCGAACAATGCTAAAAAGTGTTCCTAATTTTACATGTCTTAAAAATGAAATGAACTATACTACCACAGCAAACAGTTAAGGAGTCTGGAGTTATAGCATGCCATGACATGAGCAATCAGCTGACAGGTGACAGCACACAGCCAGAATTTCGTTGACAAGTGCAATTTTGCAGCGGACAAAACAAATGCAACTTTTTTGGTTTGTTTCATTTTCTTAAGTCTGGTCCGTGTCAACGTCACGGAAGTTTTTTAATAATTAAAGTAAGTATCCAGAAGTTTCCAGAAGTATGAAATTACGTAAGTGAAATGTCACAAATTAATTAAGTGGAATTATTGCGTAATAACGTAATAATTCCACTTATTACGTAATAATTCCACAAATTATATAATAACTCCACAAATTATGTAATAGTTCCACAAATTACGTAAATGGAATGTCACGATTACGTAAGTGGAATGTCACAAAAAAGTATTTGCGATAAATATTGCGTGAAAAAATGGACCGTATCAAGACTATGCTCTACGTATCGTATCGGCAGCAGATAACAAAGGTGGAAGACCGCGTTCCAACACTTCTAAAGAGGATTCTATGATTGTCAGATCCGTCAAGAAGGATCCCTGGATATCATCAGTCGAGATACAAAAGCAATTAGAGCTGCATGTATCGGACCTAATAATCAGACATTTTCCGTGTACGTCGACCGGCTGGAAAACGCCTCGATTTACGTTACTGCCATATGGCCGTGAAGCATGGAGGAGGCAATGTAATGGTCTGGGGTTTTTTTTCTGCTAACGGTGTTGGTTCAATACATCGAATCGATGGAATAATGGACCGTTTCATGTATAAAAATATCCTGAAAGATGTTATGTTACCTCATGCCGAATGGAATATGCCAATAAAATGGGTTTTTCAGCAAGACAACGATCCGAAACACACTGCAAAAGTAGTCAAGTAGTGATTTCAAGACAACTACCTATCGGTGCTGAATTGGCCGCCTCAATCTCCGGGGCTCAACCCTATCGAGAACCTGTGGAAGATCGTCAACCGCAGAATTAATCGTGAAGGTTTTCGTAATAAGGATCAAC